GGGTGGTCATGGCGGCACGTGGAGTTTGAATCACTCGCCAAAAAGCAGTAATCTGCTGTTTACTCAAAAACACAATGTCTAATCTCTCCGAAAACATTGCAGGCATGATAAGAGTCGAGCTCGGAAACGTTTGTTATGCCATTTGTCAGTAATGGTTAGAGCGCCACCTAGTGGAACGAGTGTAATCATTACTGAATGAGATGAAATTTAAGCTAGTGGTTCTACTTAGGAATTCGATCAATGTGACATCAGTTCGGACTTGCTGGTTTTAGGTGTTGGGCGTGGCTCGACGTGCCAGGGTGCGAGCGAGGGCCCTCATAACGCTGCTTGCAGCTTTAATTGTTATTGTTTTTACTGTTGTTACCTCCCCCCCCAAAAAAGTCCAGGGAGGTAGCCAATCAGGTCAGCTGTTTGCATTGATTAGGGCTATTGTCCTGTTGTAAAAGCTGTCCTTCAGTCTATTTGTTCGGGACCTCAGCAGCCTGAACCTCCTGCCAGACGGCAGCAGCTTAAACACCTGGTGTCCTGGGTGTGTACCGTCCCGTAGGGTGCTGCGTGCCCTCTTAAGACAGCGAGTGCTGTACAGGTCCTTCAGGGAAGGAAGTCAATGTCCATTGATTTTTTGGGCCATATTGATGACTCTCTGGAGTGCCTTTCTCTGTGCTGTGGTGCAGCTGGAGAACCACACACCGATGCAATATGTCAGTACACTTTCAATGGAGCAGCGGTAGAAGACGGTCAGCAGCTCGTTCTTCAGGTCCATTTTTCTGAGGATTCTCAGAAAGTGGAGATGCTGTTGGGCCTTCATTAAAACCGCAGAGGTGTTAGAGCTAATCAGTAAAGTAATCCCATTACTGATTACTTATTTTCAAAAGTAATTAATTACTTAGTTACTTTTTAAAAACACGATTTACAACCTGAATAGGTGATAAAACAATAGATCTTTAAGCCCAATTCTACTTTTTCTGCATAATCCATCATACAAAATGTAATCAAATGGAAAAGTCTCTTTTTAAAATTTGTTTTATTAGTTTTAATCTTTTAACTTTATGCATCAAGCAAAAATTTAAACATTCTCTGACTGGAAGAAATTATTTTAACATTTAAACCTATTTTCTGCACATTCCAGCACATAAAATAAAATATATTTTTTTGTTTACACTCACTCTTTCAAATAGATGCAAGTAAAACACAGCACAAAATAAATAAAATCAAAGACTAGCGGTCCTGTTGCTCTATTTTCACCTGTAAAGCAGGAGTGGGGTAGGCGGAGGTGTGCTACGTTTGTTACAAGTAACGCGTTACTGCCCATCTCTGGTTATTAGTAAGGAGCTGACATGAGCGGAGACAATAAAGGGGAGATGAGAGCTTTAATTTTAGCAGGAAGCTCACAAGCAGTGTGACCTGTACATGTGTGAAAGAATACAGCATAGAGGGGTGATACATTTTTACGATGGTTAATGATTTTAAGTTTTTATACGATTTTGAAACATAGTAACATATGTGCAGAGATAGCTGGCTCTTGGTGTCGATAAACACATCAGAGTACAGTAGCGACTCAAAGAAAACAATGAGCGCTGGATACTTTTGAACATTTATTAAAAGGTTCCCATATGTGAAAACAACATGTGCTCCTTCAGTTCCAAACACTTTATTCACAGATGATGTTCATTAACATGTTTGTATCACAGACGGCTATTTACATACATAGTAGACAGTTTGCATTTCACTGTATTTAGTTAAAACCCTTCATTTTTGTGATTCTTATAATAGAAAAAAATTAACAAACATGACACGGTTTCTTAGAAATATATAAAACAGGCAAAGTGACAAGAAAGTTTCATTATAAAATAAACCATATTATTAAATCATGCTTTAAATCATCTTCGTTGTTCAGATAAACAGTGCTGATCTGATTTATTTTTTCATTAGTACATTTGCTGTTGCTGATATAAAACAACAAAAAGGTTCACAGTCACAACTTTAAATGGAGGCAGTTTCAGTGCCTTCCAAATAAGTCAAGTTCACACAAAGTCAAGTCGCACGGAAGACTTTCAGGCCTTCACTCTTCACAAGACGCAAACTCTCACTGAAGCCCTGTGTGCAGGTCCATTACGTGGAGCTCAGATCATGCAAACTTTACGGTCTTGCACATTTCAGTCTACGATTAAACAACATGTAAGAGGTACAAATCCTGCTGTTAATCACTTAGTGTCTGCTCTGCAGAGGCATGCAGCTGAAAACCCTCAGGAGTGTGGACTTCAAACGAGATTGCTGTGAAACGGGTCTAAAAGGAAAGAGGAGAAATTTTATTTATTGAGATCTCTAGGTAAGATACAGACTACAACTTCTCTCGAAAAAAAAAAAAATCAGAGGAACTGGACCGCAGTTCTGAAGCTTATACTTACAGTGAGTGCTCGATGAGTAGCGACTTTGGGTCTTTCAAATCCTCCATTGAATGGTTCTCATTCTGATTTTGCTCTGTGGAAATCTGGTCCCAGATTTCTGTGTTGACCCACAGAGCCCCTGGTAAAGTCAGGCTGGCTCTGGTGCAGGTAATCCAACGACAGAGAGGGCAGGAGACGGTGTAGATGGCACCTTCCAGCTTGGACAATCTCTCCAGACAAGGGGCGCAGAAGGTGTGGTTGCAGTGGAGGACCCGCGGTATCCTGTTGCTGCGTGAATATTCGTAGCAGCACACGCAGCACTCGAGCTCCTCGGCGGTGACCATGCTCGTATCAGATATGCA